AAAAAAAAAAAAAAAAAAAAAGTAAGAACAGAAAACAAGGGTGGGAGGGACGAGGAGGAATGGCAGGAGAGAATATTAGAATCTCCAGGCCCAAAACAATCTTGAAGGCAAATTAGAAATTTTCAATTTTGGGGGCCGGGCACAGTGGCTCACACCTGTAATCCCAGCACTTTGAGAGGCGGAGATGCTGGATCATGAGGTCAGGAGTTTGAGACCAGCCAACGTGGTGAAACCTCATCTCTACTAAAAATACAAAAATTAGCCAGGCATGGTGCCAGTCACCTGTAATCCCATCTACTTGGAAGGCTGAGGGAGAATTGCCTGATCCTACGAGGCAGAGGTTGCAGTGAGCCAAGATTGCACCAATGCACTCCAGCCTGCGAGACAGGAAAAAAAAAGACCTGGAACTGGAGACGGGGTGGTGCGGCTCTCTCAGAGCGAAGAGAAGTTAAGGGACGCAGGCAGCCAGGAGTAGAGTGGGGCAGGGAACACAGCAGGAGAGGCTCTGCCTCTGCGTACATGAAGGAATGAAAAGGGGAAACTCGAGATGGCAGAGGCTGTGAGGCAGAGAAGACCACAGGTGCCCAGTCCTTCCCAGGAGCACCTCCCTGGGGCCAGGCCCAGCTGCTCCGAGGCCTACCCCCTCAATTAATCCTCACAGCCACCCTAGGATGGAAGGGCTACTGTACTGCTGTGCCCTTTCTACAGATGAAAAGAGGCTGAGGGGTGGAGTGACTTGCCTGGCAGAGAGAAATGTCCGCTGGGCTGCAGCCTGTAGCTGGCGAGGGTAGGGACAGATCTGAGAAGACAGGCCTAGGGGAGCCAGATCACAGGGGAGTGAAGAGCTCAGCCACCCTGAGTGGCAGCGGCAGCTCAGGAACTCAGTCCCCGCCACACTCCTGCCTCTCCAGGTGTCACTGAGGCAGGCCTGGAGATTCCACTAGGCCCAGCCCCAACTATTACTCACAGTCTGAGTGCTCCCCTCTCCTGGCCTCCCAACTCTTGCTAGAGGCTGGCCTCCCTTCAGCCTTTGTTTCCCCAAACAAGCAGGGGTTTCCCTGGTCCCGGCCTCTCTTCCTGCTGCTGCCCTGACTGGAAGGAGGCTGGCATGTTCTGAGCACAACTGCACCTCCTATGAGCCCCACCCCACCCACCACAGCCAAGCCAGTTGGGCCCCCTTTGGCCTCTCAGTCCTGTGCCTGCCAGTCAGGCCTCCTACCCTGGAGAATGGTCACCAGACAGGGTCAGTCTCCCCAGCCGGACTGGCACCTGCCTCCCCCAGGCCAGGACTGTCTCTGCCCAGCATCCCACTAAGGCTGGGGTCAGGGACTGCCCAGAAAGAATGTTCCAGAAAAAGGTGACATGGGTGGGGTTCGGAGCCACCAGGTGGGGTTTGAAGCCTGACCCTCCACTCCCTGTGACATTTGCCTCTCTGAGCCTCAGTTTCCCCACCTGTAAAACAGGTGATCATAGCAGCACGACCGCACCACACAGGTGGAGAAGCCACCAGCAATGCAGCTACCGCTGCAGGGTGAAGCTCATCCAAGTCCCACACTCCATGAATAAGCAGGAACGGAAGGACCTTAGGCCTGAGATGAATGCAAATCCCCACCTGAGCAAGATGAAAGGCTACTGGGAACCAGAGATGCAGCCCTGAACGCAAAACCCACGGCGCACCCAGTAAGGTTGCCATCTCACCAAGAAAACAAAAGCTGTTCCAGACACTCTCGAAATTATCAGAAAAGAAACGGGCTTTGAACACGAGTGAGTCAGAGGAAAGCCGATTTAGCTCCTCTCATCTCTCCATTTCCCGGAACAATATGGAGTCAGAAAGGGCTTTGAGCTGCAGGAATTTTCTGCACAAAAGTATACTTGTGATTCAACAATGACCACACAGATAGATGCACCAAGCTTTCTTGTATTTTTAGAAAAATCAGATAATCTTACTTCAAGCTCGTGTCATTTTTACATGGCAATTACTTCTAAATACCTTATTTAATAAAGTTTCACAGATTTCTAAATTCATGTTTTGCTTGACACCTTATATTTCTGAATGTATTTTAAATATCAAATATTTTATTTCTTTTTTT